GTACTTCAAGCTAAAAACTCCATGGAGATTAACCTGATTTTAAACTCCATTTATAGAGGTCAGAAAAAGCTCAATTCTCTATCCTCATTCTTAAGTAAAATTGTGTAGAGCTTCTTGCAATAAAGCATTAATAAATTTATCGTGACCAGAGCATCAAGGCTCACAGCATTCTGCAAAATTAGATTTCTCAGGAAAACCTTGGCCTGGGCTCTTTAAGAGACGGTTCTTTATGATCCAAAGGCACTGGAAGTCAACAATGAAATAAGTGAATCTATTACTTCACTCTGTATCCTGTACAAATCTTGCAGTATCTTCCCATTGCCCTCACAAGAAATGCCAAACTCCTTAACAGGGCTGAAGTAGTCCTTCATGACATGAACCCTCATCACTTACCACTCTGCCAGTCCCTCATGCGTACCTGAGCTCCAGCCACAATCTCTCCATCTTTAGCCCTTTGTATAAACTGGTTTGTTGCCTGGAAGTCTCTCCCACCCTCTCTTGGCTCACTCATCTTTCAGGTTTCAGATTAAATTTTAGTTGCTCACAAGACCTTTCCTGGCCACCCCCACCCATCAGTGTCTGCCCTACCTTACTATAACTGTTACTTGATTTGCCTGTTTCTTTCTGCTGGATAGTAAGCTGCCCGAGGGCAGGGACTATGTCCTTCTTGTTCATCACTGTTATCACCAGCACCTAGCACAGTGCCAGGTGCATTGTAGGGGCTAGGTAAAAGCTGGAAGACACAGGGAGCTCTGCTTCCCCCCCACCCCAATCTCCCTCCAGCCCCTTAGGCTTCTATTACAAAAAAAAAAAAAAAAAACACACACACACACACCCCTAGAAATCCTCAGGAGTAAAGTGCGCTTGCTCCAGAGGAGAAAACCGTGAGTATTTCACTCTGATCCCCAGTGGGCTAGGGAAGGTAGGCAAGAATGGAGACGTGACCTAAACCAAGTGGTGTGACAATGGGAAGAAATGCAAACAGCAGACCCCTGGGACTGGCTCATTCTATGAAAAGGCAAGTTTGTACAGGGAGCCAGGAGATACGCCCCAGTTGGGATGAGTTTCTAGGGGCCGAAGTAGTCTGGCCCCTCTTCCTGCCCCATACCAAGCCTCTCATCGTGGAGTCCCCTCACCCTTCAGCTGGAGCTCTGCCCAACTGGGACCACTCCAAGTGGTTTGGTGCAGTCTACCAAAGTGCAGAGGGAAGTGTTTCTGATAGCCCAATTTGGATGTATTTATTAGGAGTAACAATATTGACCAATATTGTTAGACCAGTGGAACAGAACTGAGAAATCCAGAAATAAACTCATACATCTACAGTCAATTGATTTTTAACAAGGGTGCTAATAAGTCCATGCACTGAGGAAAGAACAGCCTCTGTAATAAATGACGCTGGGACAACCAGATATCCACATGCAAAAGAATGAAGCTGGACTCATACTACAAACTAAACACCAAAATTACTTCAAAATGAATCAAGAATGAAAGAACTAAATGAAATATAGGCACTAAAACCATAAAACTCCTAGAAGGAAATAACAGGGGTATTGCTTTGGGACCTAGATTTTAACAATGGATTCTTAGATACACCACCAAAAATGCTAGCAAAAAAAGAGAAAACAGATACACTGATTTCATAAAAATCAAACCTTTGTTTAACAAAGGACTTTAAAAACAAAGTAAAGAGACAACCTACAGACAGGGAAAAAAATCTGAGGAACCATATTATCAGATAAGAGTTTAATATCAAGAATATATTAAGAACTCCTACAACTTAAAAAAAGACAAACAATCAAAAAATGGGCAAGGGACTTGAACAGACATTTCACCAAAGAAGAAATACAAATGGCCAACAAGCACACGAAAAGATACTCAATATCATTAGCCATTGTTGTTGCCATATGCCTTCCAGTCGATTCCAATTCATAGCAACACTATAAGACAGAGTAGAACTGCCCCACAGGGTTTTCTAGGCTGTAAATCTTTACAGGAGCAGATTGCCATTAGGGAGATAAAAATAAAATCCACTATGAGATACCACTTCACCCCAACTAGGATGGCTAAGATAAAAAAAAAATTAGAACCCTTATCCATTGCTTGTGGGAATGCAAAATGGTACAGCCACATGGAAAACAGTTTGTTGGTTCCTCAAAGAGTTAAACATAGAACTACCACATGACCCAGCAATTCTACGGCTAGGTATGCACTCAAGAGTCTTGAAAACAGTGACACAAACAGACACATGTATACCAATGTTCACTGCAGCACTATTCACAATAGCCAAAAGGTGGAAACAACCTAAATGTCCATCAACAGATGAGCAGACAAACAAAATGTGGTATATCTATACAATGAAATATTACTCAGCCATAAAGAGAAATAAACTCTTATTACATGCTACAAAATGGATGAACCTTGAAAACATTATGCTGAGTGAAGTAAGTCAATCACAAAAGGACAAATATTGTACGATCTCACTCATATGAAATATCTAGAATACACAACTGTATAGAGACCAAAGCTTATTAGCGGTTATCAGGGGCAGGAGGGAGGGGGCAAGAGGGGAGTCATTGTTTAGGAAGCACTGAGTTTCTGTTTATAGTGACAGAAAATTTGGAAATGGGTATTAGTGATGGTTGTACAACATGATTAATGTAACTGATATCACTAAATTGTACATGTGAAAAACATTAAATTGGCGAACATTGTGTTATATTTTTACCACAATTAAAATAACAATATTGAATGGGTCCTTATTTTGTGCCAGATAATTTGCTAAGAGTTTTAAATACATTTAGAGTCCCGGGGTGGTACAAATGGTTAACACGCTCAGCTACTACCAAAAAGGTGAGGGGTTAAAGTCCATCCAGAGGCACCCTGGAAGAAAGGCCTGGAGATGAACTTTTGTAAGATTACAGCCATTGAAAACCCTATGGAGCACAGTTCTACTCTGACATACATGGGGTTGCCATGAATCAGAATCAATGCGACAGCAACTGATTTGGGTTCTCTTTTTTGGTTTTACATACATTATCTCAGTTAATCCTCACAGTAACCCTATGTGATAGGTACAGACATCCTCCATTTCACAGATTTGGAACCTGAGGCTTAAAAAATCTAAGTAACTAAAGTAACTAAATTTAGGTTGAATTAGCTTAACCATACACCATCCTTCATCCAGCAGGCAGAGAGCTTTATAAATTGCAAGTGAGAGCATATCCCTATTTAAAAACTCTGAATGACTTCTCAAGTAGCTCTGGTAGCACAATGGTTAAGCGCTCTGCTGCTAACTGAAAGGTCAGTGGTTTGAATCCACCAGCTGCTCCACAGGAGAAAAATGTGGCAGTCCGATTCCGTAAAGATGAAACTAAAAAACCAAACCCAATGCCGTCAAGTCAATTCCAACTCATACCGACCCTACAGGACAAAGCAGAACTGCCCCATAGGGTTTCCAAGGCTGTAAATCTTTACAGAAGCAGACTGCCACATCTTTCTTCTACAGAGCAGTTGGTGGTTAGAAGCCAACCTCAACCTCTTAACTAACTACTGCACCACTAGGGCTCCCTTCTTGGAAACCCTATGGGGCGGTTCTACTTTGTCCTTTAGGGTCGCTGTGAATGGGAATCAACTCAATAGCAAGGGGTTTAATGACTTCCCATTACTCTCAAAATCCAAGTTCCCAGCCATGGCATTCAAGACTTGCGTGACCTAGCCCCTGTCCACGTTTCTCCTCTCATCTCATTCCACTCTCTCCCTTGCTCACAATGCTCCAGTTCTACTGCACTGTGTTTCTCAAACTCTTTGCTCCTCAGGGCTTTTGCACTTCCATAGCTTTCTGCCCCCACACTCTTTGCCTTAATTTCCGTGTGGCTGGCTCCTTAACTGATGTTGAGATCTCAAATCGAATGCCATTTCCTCTCCAAACCTTCTCTTTCTATGTAACATCGTCTCATCTCTGTCATTCCCTATTATATCACTGTTTTATTTTCTTCGTAGTACTAACCTCCTCTTGTGAAGCCCCTAATCACCATATTAAAATTTGCGACTCATCATCACAGCACTGAAGATAAAATTCCAAGAGAATTCAAAGCCACTTGTGATCTTCCTCCAGCACCCACTTCTTATTCCAGTCATGCTAAACCATTTCATGTTTGCCAGAATGTCACTCAGTTTGTCAAAGGTCACCTTTTCTAAGTAGCTTTCTTAGAATGGCTTCCTTCTTCCTTCATGTCTCATTTCTGTATCTACATTGCCTGACATTCAGAGGGGCCTGAATAAAAATATTCACGCAATCTCAGTTTTGGAAGGGACCTCAGAATTAATTCTGCTTCTTCTCCCATCCCTTCATCTAATGTCTGATATCCTCTGTAACAACCTTGCTAAGTGCATGTCTGGCCCCTTGAACACCTCCTACGATGGGCGACCACTTGTTAAATGCCAACACCAACAAGGCCTCATGCTAGACATATACACAAAATCCCACTGCAAGGAGCTGACAATCTGTTCTATCACACCTTATTTGACAAGAAGACCAGGCCCCTGCTATGGCCAGCGCTGGAGGTTGCTGATTTCCAGAGTACCACAGGACTCAGAAGGAACACTGATGAGAAGACTGCTAGAAATGATCTGGGACAAAGAGTTCTACACCCAGGCGGAGAAGAGACAAGCTGGACTAAGTTCAATGCCAGGAATTAACTGACACCCAGGGTGGGCACATTCAACCAAGAGGGGAAAAGGCTGTTAATATTAAAATCTTAACGCAAAATGTAACTTTATCAATGTTAATTACAAATATTTAACCCTTGAGAAAAGAGCTTTCTAAAAACAATAAAGTTGCAACATTTTCATAGAGCTAATATGGTTAGATTTCCTCGAAACTTTTTGCCCCAGCTCATGCCTTCAATTTTTAAGTTTCAGAATCTCCACACTGTCAAAAAGAGAAGTCTAATGGCATTAGCTTGCCCTAATTCCAGGAGAATATAAAGGAGAAAATATGATTAAAATAAGTTATTTTATTGTGGGAGGCAAGTTACTCAATATTAGTTGGTGGTAGACAAAGGGAAGGGAACATGTTAGAAGTCAGGTTTGTTGGCAGCCATGAGAGACTACTACTGCCAAAGGATCCACTCAGCAAATACCCAGAATCTTGGGTTCCTCCATTTCTTCAAGTACAAAAGTGAGTCACACTTCCCAGTCAAGGATCACGGAGACCAAATAAGAAAGGATTCTTCTGACTGTCAACCAAGAGTCTTCCAGTCTTCTCTCAGCAAAAATATAATTCATTTTTCGGACTCCTCTGAAGAATTAAAAAGTCTCTTTCGCATCACATTGCCATGCTCCCTGCTCTTCGTCCTCCTTTCCGCATACTGGAAAACAAAAGGGAAAATGAGGGTAAAGAAAAGACAGCAGATTATGTCACTATTTATATGAGTTAAGTATTTAGAAAAACTTACAAAATAAAAATAATGTTTTTATTGACAAAATTCTTATATTCCTACTATTTCACTTAGTCTGAGATTGGAAAGAGTAACTTTAGAGGATCTCTAGTACAATTTCTTTCAATACAGTACAATGTCCCAATAGGTGTATAAATATTTGCTGAATTAACTTCTTCCCAAAATATAAACTCAATAAATATATAGGAAGATTAGTTTTGTCCTTGTTCTCCAGGATTCACAATCTAGCAAATCATCTAACTTCTGCTTGAACACTTCCAGTTATGGAGGGCTCACTACCTTGAGAAGTAGCCTGTTTTACTCTTGGACGGTTCTACTTTTTCCAAAGTTCTTTATGTTAAACCAAAAACTGTCGCCCTGTAAATTGTCCTATTGCCCGCTAATTCTTCTTGCCTGCTACAGTCTCCCAAACATCTGTTTACAGCTAATCCACTATCTTGGCTTACTCTTCTTCAGGGTGAACATCCCTGGTACCTACAACTGTTCCACAGACCCATGGATTCTCCATTCTAATCTAGAAAATGCCTTTTAGTTTATAAAGCACTTTAATATCAATGCCCCTTATAAAAATATCACAACCAGAATTAAACACAGTGCTCTAGATGTAGTCTGACAGACATGAACTACAGTACACCTCCTAGGGTTCTCGTGACCTCGATGTATTACATTTCTATAAATATTACCCAAAAGAGTAACTGGATCTTAGCAACCACATTACCTATTGACTCGTATGGAAACTTACGGTCAACTGAACTTTGCAGGTTTTTGTTTTTGTCATCACAAATAGTCATCAAACTTGATTCTCCCAAAATCTTTTTTCTGTAATCAATTGGATCTAAATGCAGTTTTCACCTTGGAGGTCTACAGCCTAGTATTCTAATATGACTGTAGGTTATAAATAACAAGAAAACATGGAACCTGGCTATTAGATAAGGACTCAGAATTTCTCAAACAGATGAACCTATGTTTAAAGCACATACACTTGAAGAAAAATGTTTTTATATGTATAAATTTACATGCTTATAATATATACAGCAATACAGACATATTTTAAAGGAGAATGAAAGGTAAACAGTTAAACATCAAAATCTTTTAGGAGTCAGAGATATGGTAAAAGATGCTACAGAAGGTAAAGATTATGACACACAGGTAACCAGGGAGTCGACCAAATCCCCCCCGCTTGCCCCTGAGACAGAATGTTTGTGGAGAATCAGGACTTCGAGTTATTTTACTCTTCTTGGGCCAGTAGCCTCATATATAGGGAGTTGGGCTAGATAATCTTTAAGAAGTTTTCTAGGTCTAAAGTTGTAATTCTAGGATTCTAATATAATACTTTGTATCAGTCAGGTCAATAAAGTAAGCTACTGAGCAAACTGAAATATGGTCTGTATTAAAACATATATTAAGATAGCTTTAGAGGGGAGTTGAGATGGCTCCTGAATTGGGGTGGAGGGTTGAATATGAGGTTATTCACAAAACTCCATCAAACACTGAAGATACATAGATAGATAGACAGACCGACCAGGAAGTTAGTTAACCAAAATAAATAAATAAATAAGAGGAACAAAACAGGATGCTGCAAAGTTAGTAATTATTTCAATAAAAAGAACAAAAGCGATAAAACAGCAGCATAGAGGGGCTCAGAAAGAATTGGCCAAACCTTTTTCTAGTTCAGTTTCAAGAAATGAAGTACTCAAATAACACATGAAGGAAATGGTAGGAGGAGAGCACTAGCAGCAATAAATGGTAAACTAGAAAACACTAAGCATAGAGGAAATAAACGAGCACAGGTTCAGAGGATTAGAGAATGAAAGAACAGGCGGAAAAACATCTAAAAATCAGGCAATGAAGCCACATAAAAACCACAGAGTGGACTTAGAAAATAAGTCAAGGAGAAAATCTAAAATTTATATGAAAACAAACTTGGATAAAATAAGAAAAATATCCACAACATTCAAACAGTCACTAACAGAGATCAGAACCACCTGGGAAGAAAATCTCCTATGAAGATCTAATCACCTAACCAATGGCAAAATTACTGAACTATAAGAAGAAGAAAAAAGAGCTAAGGAAAAAAAGCATCTTATAAAACTGAAAGCATGTGAAAAATAAACAGCTATACCATATAAAATAGTATGGGCTTTATTTTTGCGTAGGCTGATTAAAACAGGGACACAGCCCTAAGTTTAGTTTCCATATAAACTAGCCTTTATATACAAAGCAAAAAGTTTTTTCAAAAATAATTTTAAAATACTTATGCATGTACATATGTGTGCACACAGAGAAAATTATGGCCCCTAACTCAGAACTACAGAAAGTTCTTCAAACAGTAAAGATAAGTATGTGTCACCCTGAAAAGAGATTTTAGGAAATGAAAAAAAAAACCCAAAACACCAGAGTGAAAAATATACAAACTAAAGATAGGTGCTGGATAGCTTCAAATATTATGCATAATGCCTTTTAACATGAAGCTTAATAGGTGAACAAAAAAGGTTCAAAAATACAGAAAACAAAGATTTGGAGACAGATTTTTCATTAGTTATATATTTAAAATGTGCTTGATATAAAATATCTGATGTCCAAAATAGAAATGGAATGAAATTTCTTTTCAAAAGCTTAAGATGCACTCTGCAGGGTTAGCAGTACTTGAGAAAAGGCAAAAGAACTAGGTACTGTAAGGTATTAGCCCAAGTCCAAGTCATAGTCTAAAATTGGGTTCAGGAGTTGACAGTCTTCCCAAACAAGTCAAAATAGACCTGTATGGTTTGTACATATCATAATTACAAAGAAATTAAAAAATTTAAAGGTAGAAAGAGCCTAAGTCTAACCTCATTACATACAAGGAAATTGAGGCCCAGAGTTTTAGTTACTTGTCCATAGCTAACAGTTAGCTGATATAAGTATTTCTGGTGAACAGAGATTCACTCTTCCAAATCTTCCAAATCTTAAAACTCATCCAGATGAGTTGCCGTGATTATAGTAACAAAGTTGTTTTCACTTGAGTGCATGGCCAAAAAACAGCAATGTTCTAAAATTGTCCCCAGAGGAAGCTTTCACTTCTGGTTTTAGGGGAGGTCATACATAGAAAGTCAATCTTCTCTGTTATAATTATAATTATATATAACATTTGAGAAAAAATTAATGATGGCAGCAATATATAATATTGTTCTAAAATGTTCTGTTCTATTGTTCAACTACTTCCATTCTTCGACACTTTTCTTACCTCTTTCTTCAGGCATTTTCTCATCTGCCGATCAAGATCGTTGCAATGACCAAAAAATTTCAGAATGCTGTGCTAAAAGCAAGAAAAGGGGTAAAATAGTTCATTCTGTAACGTGCTAAGGTCTCTGGCAGAATTTAAACTTACTCCTACAGAAATGGGTTTAATGTATCACCTTGATAATAAGCAAATGATATTAAATCACATGTGTTGTTGTTAGCTGTCATCGAGTCAGTTCCGACTCATGGCGACCCTGTGTGCTACACAGAAGAATTGCTCCATAGGGTTTTCTTAGCTACAATCTTAATGGAAGCAGATTGTCAGGCCTATTTTCTGTGGTACCTTTAGGTTAGCAGTTGAGCTAAAATATAAACAGGCTTTATTTGGTCCTTCCTACAAAGGAGGAATAAATGCTTTATAAGTAGAAATGAAAAGTAAAAAGATTTTTTTCCTGGATAAAAGGGGAAGCCTATTAAGCCAGCAATCACCTCACAAAATATAAGCAGTTTTATCTCCCTAGTACCCCTTTTGTTAAAGGACCTATTAAAATCACAGCACAACTCATCCTCTATTTACAGGGAGTGGGGTCAAACTGCAGTGTGGCCACATTACTGATGAGCAAACAGTAACTTACTTCAGTAGCAAACATTCTGTCCCACAGAAAAGTTATTTATTAAATGCCTGGCAGCAGAGCCATTTTCTCATTTGCTCCTATTCAAAATATTCAAAATACACCAGAAATACCTAACACTATTATTAGGTGGTCAGTATAGGCCACATAAGTAAGTTATTAATTCACAATATTAGGAAATCTGTGTCTGAAATGCGAATGCTGCTTTATTTAAAAAACAAAAACAAAAAATTTCCTAGTGGTTTGAGGTCCTACAACTAAACTATGAATGCTCCAAAGCAGGTTAAGATAAGACAGTTAAAGACCTTGAACTTTAGTAGGGCCACAATTAGTGTGTTTGTGCTTCACCATTTTTAAGGGCGGGTCGGATAACATGGCAATCTCCATGATGACATGCCATAAACACTGAACTTGTAGTTGTAATAAGCACATCTTTTCCTTTTCTTTGAAACTACGGCTTTCATGGAAACCAGACAACACATAATTAGGAGGACATGCCTCATACAATTTTCTTTTTCCTGCTTCACTGCCACTCTATATATAATTTTTTGGTCCACAATGAAGAAATGGTGAGAGTTTTTCTGGCAAGTATTTAACATAGACTAAGATGTCTTAATGATTACCTAATGACCTTTCCAGAATAAATATTTAGCATATATTTTGCCTAAATTAACTCATTGACAACAAATAAACAGGGACAATGCATTTCCACATACCTTCTAGTCAAGTAGAAACAACACAAATAATCAGAATGTAAGGCAATGCGTCATAGTTTTGTTTACATTATTTTTATCACACCATATACATACCTAGGTATCTTATTTTAAAAATCTAAGACAAAAACTAATTCATGTCTACTTTCCCCTCAACACTAAGCCCAAGTGAGAATTAACACTCTTGTGATACTACATGAAAAACACTAAACCCAAAATGCCCCAGTGGAGTTAGTAAAAAGAAATGCCCATCGATTGCAATCCTCTTGTATACACATCGTATAAGCCTCTAGTGCCTGATGTCTATTCCTAGAGAACCAAACTAACTGAGCAACTGACTGAAGATATGAATCATTCAACTGATCAATGGAGGACACTGTCCCAGGGAGCAGAGATACAATAGTGGGCAAGAGAGATCTGGATCCTATTCTCATAGCACATAGTCAAAGGGGAGACAATGAAGTGGTTTCCATAAATTAATGGTTCTCAGAGTATACACCCAGAGGTTCCCAAGACATTTACAGGGAGTCCACAACGTCAAAACTATTTTCTTAATAATACAAAGACCTTATTTGTCTTGTTCACTCACTTTCATTCTCTCACAAGGGTCAAGTGGCGTTTTCCAGAGGCTCATGAAGTATGATATTGCAACAGACTGAATGTGGAGGCAGATGAGAATCCGGCTGTAATTCTACTAAGCCAGACATTAAAGAGAACTGCAAAATGCAAAGGCAATGCCACTCTTTACTTTTTTTTAAATAAGATTTTTTATGAAAGATAAACATATTAACACGTAATAAAGTTTATTATTGCGATTTTAAATAAATAAATATTTTTAAACTGGTACCTATAACATAAACAAAACGTCCTTGGGGTCCTCAATAATTTTTAAGAGTGTAGAGGAGTCCTGAGACCAAAAAGTGTAAGAATAACTGCCATAAAGCAGGAAATGTTTTATGTGAGTGGAAATGCATGGTGCTACTGCTGTGCACAGCAGCTGTATCAAAGAGAATCTAGGCCAGGAGAGGAGAAAAGGGAGTAAAACCTGAAGGAGGAATAAAACCTGTCTAGTAAATGAGGAGCAGAGACAGTGAGAACGTTCTCAAAGGAAAGAGAGCAAGTGCAAAGGCTTAGAAGAGAGAAAATAGCATACTCCAGGAAGTAAATGGCTCAGCACAGCTGTAGAAAAGAATACGCAGGGATGGGGTGGGGGGAGTGTGGGTAAGAGATGACACTAATGAGTTAAGTAGCAACCAGTTTCAAGAAGGCCTTGAAGTACAAGTTAGAAAATTTAGATTTTTTTCTATACGCAAAGAAAGACATTGATGGAGAAGAACAATTAAACTTTTTTTAAAACTGTGCTTTAGGTGAAAGTTTATAGCTCAAGTTAATTTCTCATTCAAAAATTCATACCCATATTGTTTTGTGACATTGGTTGCAATACCCACAATATGACAGCACACTTCCCCTTTCCACCCCAGGTTCCCTGTGTCCATTCATCCAGTTCCTGTCTCTTCCTGCCTTCTCATCTTGCTTTTGGACAGGAGTCACCCATCTGGTCTTGTATATTTGATTAAACTAAGAAGCACTTCCCTCACATGTGTTATTTTTTGTTTTATAGGCCTGTCTAATCTTTGTTTGAAAAGTGGGCTTCAGGAATGGTTTCAGTTCTGGGTTAGCATTGTCTGGGGGCCATAGTCTCGGGGGTTCCTCCAGTCTTTGTCAGATTAAACTTATTTTTTTTGAAAAATTCTTCTAAATACAATGTAGAAAGTAGATTAGGACAGAGCACAAAACAGTGAGACCAGTTAGAAGGCAGTTACAGGTGGCCCTAGTAAGATAATGTTGGAATGGACTACGTTAGTGGCATTGGCAATGGAGAACAATTGATTCAAGAGATACTCAGCAGAGAACGGGCAGTACTTGGTCACTGTTCAGATGTAACAAGCAAGGGAGATGGAGGAATTAAAGACAACACTGGTTTCTGGCTGAGACAAGTAAACGTTATTCACTGAGAAAGGAGGAGAAGGCTTTCTGGTTTTTTTTTTTAGGAGGAGAAGGCTTTTAAAACAGGAAGATGAGTTTGTGTCTGGACGGACATGATGAGTTTAACTGTAGAACAGTCAAGTCCAGTATATAGTTGAGATAAACAGATCTGGAACTCAGGGAACATATCTGAGCTAAAGATAAAGATTAGAAACCATTGGAATGAATGAATTTTTCTAGGAAAAAGGTAGAGAAAAGAGGAGTCTTCCAAGGAGACTGAACAGTGAACAAAGAAATTAAAGGAAAACAAGGGGAGAGAAGGATATGGTAGAAGCCTGTGGAAGAGTGTTTTGAGAAGGAATCAAACGGTGCCTGGGAGACAAGTGAGGAAATTACCACATATGTCCACCAAATTTAGCAACAATGCAGTCATTGGTGACTCTGGCAGTTTTAGGACCCTAGTGAAGGTAGACACCAAACTGAAAAGAGAAGAGAAAGCAAGTGTTCTTTCAATTCTTTGAATAGCCTGCTCTGAAAGGGAAGCCAGATATAGGATACTGTAAGGTTGGGATTATCGAAAAAGGATTTTATGTTTTCATTTTCTCAAGATGGAAAAGATGTAGGCATTTTAAAATGCCAACAGGAAGAAGATAACAGAGGGAAAAAAAAAGAAATATTAAAATATAAGCTAGATAAACCCAATTGTTCATGACTTTATCTCTGGATAGTAGAATAAAAAGTAATTTTTATTTTCTTTACACTTTCCTAGGCTTTTTACACTACCTAGAATGGCATTATTACTCACATATTACTTCTATAAATCAGGAAAAAATACATAAGGACTTCTAAGTTTTGAGGAAAACAGCTGTTCTAAATTCTGTATTTTAACTATACATAATCTGAGTCTTGCTGACAAATGTAGGCAAAATAGACCAGTAGATCAAAAGCTGCCAGTAGACAGTGACAGCCATGGAAATGACATTTGTCTACAAAGACCATAGAAGACCTATAAAACACATAAAGAATGATAAAAGCACAGTATGCTAGGGCCATTTGGAGATAAAACAGCCATGTATACTTCAAGAGGGTTGGAGAGCACTGCAGCCTTCCAGCCCAAAAAACGGCATTCAGAATGCTGGCTTATCAACAAAAATGATTAAAATACAGAATTACACAAATTCAGGGCTAGAAGTAATTTAATCCATTCATTTTACAGATTAAACAACTGAGATCTGAAGGGACATATATCTGGTATGCTTAGAGAATCAGGAAAATAGGTAGAAAGTTTGGGCTTTATAAAGAAATAATTATTTTACAAGAGTACATGTAGTGTATATTATTTATATCAAGTGCAAAACCAGGCAGAACTGTAACAGTGTTAGGAGCTATAACGATGGTGGGTTGTCCTTGGCAAGGGTAGGACTGACAGGGAGCACAAGGGGTTGAGGGCCCTGGTGATATTATTACTTGACGAGGGTGCTGGTTAAATGGGTATGCTAGCTTGTGAAAGTTCACTGAGCTATATACTTAAACTTTTCGGTATGTGTATTATACAGTTCAACAAAATGTTTAAAAAGAAATACAACCAAGACAATACCTTCCCCCCAAAAAAACCCTATGCAGCATAGTTCTACTCTGACACACATGGGTCAGTCGACTTGATGGCAACTGGTTGGGATTTTTGTTGTTGTTTTATAGTTTTAATGCTTAAAAAGCAGAAGCTTCCAGAGAGATGACTTAGGTATCTCCTGATGATACAGAATAAATGAACATGTCGCTATTTTCTGACACGATAAATTAGAAGCACTTTTTAAACACTTTATGACAATTTCAGACTCACCTAAAAGTTATAAGACTAGTACCAAGAATTCCCAAATACTCTTCACCCAGATTTTCCAAATGTTAACATTTTAGTACATTTGCTTTATCATTCTTCTTTTCTTACATATACATATACACACAGGGTTTTTTTTTGTTTGTTTTTTTCCAGAACCCACTGATTAAGTTGCAGACATGACAGCCCTTACCTCTCTCTAAACAGGTATGTTTCCTAAAAAAGGAAGGACATAAATAACCACAATAAATTATCAAAATCAGGACATTAACATTAATATAATACTAGTATCTAATTTGCAGGCCTTATTCAAATTTCACCAGTTCACCTAATAATGCCCTTTATGCAGAAGGGAAAAAGTCTTGTTACTTCTGGTCCAGAATGCAATCCAGAATCATGTCTCTTTAGTCTCCTTTGATCTGGAAGAGTCATCAATCTCTTTGTCTTTCATTACCTTGACATTTCAAAGAGTACAGGCCAGTTAATCTGCAGAATCCTCCTCATTTTGGTTTGACTGGTATTTCTTCATGACTAGATTCAGGTTATACATTTTTGGCAGAAATACTATAGGAGTGATGTGTCCTTTTTGGTGTATCATGTCAAGAGGCACATACAAATTTCTCCTATTACTGGTGATGTAACTTTGATCATCTGGGTAAGGAACTCTTTGCCAAGTTTCTCCACTGTAAAATTATTGACAGGCTGATTCTAAAATTTATATGAAAATAAAAAGGAACTAGAATAGCCAAAACAATTTTGAAAAAGGACAAGTTGGAAAACTTACACTTTCTGATTTCCAGACTTACTAAAGGCTACAGTACTCAAGACAGTGTGGTGCTATGTTAAGGACAAACATACACATCAATGGAATGGACTACAGAGTCCAGAAATAGACTCACTCATATATGGTAAACTGATTTTTGATACAGGGGCTAGGGTAATCCAGTAGGAAAAGGATAGTATCTTCCACAAATGGTGCTGGAATAACTAGATATCCATAGGGAAAGAAAATGAACCTCAACTCATACCTTACACCATATACAAAAATTAACTTGAAAAGAATCATAGACCTAAATATAAAAGCTAAAACAATAAAATTCATAGAAGAAAACATAGGAGACAATCTTTGTGACCACGGAATATACAAGGATGCTTAGAATACAAAAAGCATAAACCATGAAAGAAAAAAAAAAGATAAATCAGACTTCAACAAATTTAAAAACTGCTCTTTGAAACACATCCTTTAAATGAGAAAATACAAGATACGTATCAAGAGGATTTGTATGCCAAATGATACAAAATATTCATATAACTCAATAACAAGACAGACAAAGCACCTTTTAAATATGGGCAAAAGAACTGTTATGAATAGTCAATAAGCACCTGAAAAGATGATCAAAATCATTAGTCATCATGGAAATAAAATTTAAAGCCACAATCAGATATTACTATACTCATATAGAGTGGCTAACATTAAAAAAGACTTAAAAATACCAAGCGTTGGTGAAGCCAGAGAGCTGGTGGGAAGTTCAGCAGTTTTTCATAAGGTTAAACAGATACCACATCATCCAGTCATTCCATTCCTAAGTATTTACCCAAGAGAAATATAAAATTGTCCATACAAAGACTTATACATGAATGTTTATAGCACCTCTATTCAAAACAGCCCAAAACTGCAAACAACCTAAAATGTCCACTGACAGGCAAATAAGTAAACTGGAGTATATTCATACAATATTACCCAGAAATAAAAGAAATGAACTACTGATATATGCAAGAGCATGTATGAACCTCAAAAAATTATGTTGAGCAAAGCACAAGAGTATACAATGTAGATTCCATTTATAAGAAACTCCAGAACACAGAAAACTAATCTACAGTGACAAATTAGTTCGGTGGTTAATTGAAGCCAGGAGCGGGAGTTGGGGGTTGACTGAAAAGTGGTACAAGGGAATTTTTTGATGTGATGGAAATGTTTTATATATTGACTGTGATGGTGGCTATATTGGTGTTTACATTTGTCAAAGCTCAGCAAACTCTACACTTAAAATAGATGCATTTTATTGTATGTAAATTATGCTTTAATAAAGTTAATTTTCTAATAAGTCTATCTTTAGTTCCAGTGAGTTGAGATGCCACCTTTACTATAAGAAATCCTTTTGAAAGAGAAAAAAAAAAAGAATGTTTAATTTGATTCCAATTTAAAACTAGTCACGACACATCCAAACTCCCTGAGGGACTGAATTGCTGGGCAGAGGGCTGTGGGGACCATAGTCACAGGGAACATCTAACTCAACTGGCATAACACAGTTTATAAAGAAAATGTTCTACATTCTACCTTGGTCAGTAGCGTCTGGGGTCTTAAAAGCCTGTGAGCAGCCATCTAAGATACTCCACTGGTCTC